CTTATTTTTATTTTAACAATGTATCAAAACTTGCCTGAGCATGACAGTGATGCTCAGCTGATTGCATGAGAGTTCTAAAAAACACAGTTAACATATTACTTTCCTCGTGTACATTAATAATGAAACATTTGTCATTGTTATATCAACACAGTTGGTTTTCCATAAGGAGTCTTTGAACGGATAGGTCATGTTTTTTTTAAGCAACAGAAGCCAGCAGCACTAAAAGGAACCTAAATCGTTCATTCAGGAGCCGGGTGGGCTGGGTGGGCAGAGGGATACATTCAGTATGTATAGACGTGTGGATGAATGATGGATGTATGATGGCTATGTCCATTCATCTTGTGCCCTAGAGTTTAAACATCACTTTTCCCTGGTTGATGTCCCCCTACAGTGACACTGAGGGGCCATGTTGTCATGTATCAGGGCATGCGTCGCCTTCCCCAGCCTCAGACACTACTGCTGCTCTGAGCGTCCACATCGCCAGGAGCTCTGCCACCTCCGTGTTGGCCTGCATCACCTTTTGTCATGACCCCAAATTAAACACAGCCAGTAACATGCGGAAGCGCCCTACTATTATTAGTCTGGCCTCATGATGTAGAAAATGCACGACTGGTTTGCTTTTTGTGTGACCTTAAGCTGAGGAATATATTCCATTAAATGTTGCTCTTCAAACAAAATAGAGAAAAAAATTGAATTATTTGTCATTTTCATTTTTAAATCCCACTGAAGAGATTTGTGCAGCCTCTTGTATTTCATTCAACGGCCAGGAATGTGGGATCAATCAATCATTAAAACTACTTGTATGAAAAATGTATCGTGACCACTTCTGTCAGCGTAACCTAAAAACTGAATTCAAACATCCCCCGTCATTCACAAAGAAATGCTGCTTGTAATGCGTCTACAGCACTTCTTAGAAGCTCCCTGGAGGTTTTTCAGTTGAGTGGTGAAACAATGACCTCTCCATCAGTAATCCTGATACAGCATATCCAGGGTATGCACACAGGATGGTGTAGGGCTCCTCAATGCCAAATGTCAGGCACATTAAATAAAGAGCGAGAGGGAGAAGCACCCAGATGATTGGGTTTATTAAAAGCTTTCTTGTCCCGTACCACAGCCCAATGATTGATCTCCTTTGACGTGTCCTTTTACCCTGTGTCACATTAATAAACTATGTCTCTGCTGAGGGACTGACAGACTGCCTCACAGGAGAGACACAGAGGAAGGGGAGGAAAGAAAGCTTACAAGCACCTGTGGGGATGTCCCATATTGCTTTATGGCTGATCATCATGTCAGAAGGGTTGATTCAAGATATTCATCACATACAATATAACAGCAAACTCTATTATTTTGACATAATCCTACAATTCTTGGGCAAAGCACGTTTTTGAAACAAATGTAAAAAAGTGAAACATATAGGCTTAAATGGGAACTAGGACGTGATTGCTTGAGGGTTTCCTTCCAGCTGCTTTACACAAGATAACGTCAGCTGTTTTTCCTGCTTGTGCTTTTACACTACTTTGTAGAGTCAGTGCTTGCAAAAACAGAAACATGTAAGTGCAGCTTGGACTGTTGGTCCAAAGGGCTGCAATTTATCAGTGACTTGTCAGTCCATTCAGCAATTTTTATTAAAAGCACTTTAACTAGCATTTTATTTAACACCACACTTTAGGCATAGAGTTGCACACCAATAACTATTTGCACAAAAGAAGTTTATTTATTGAATATTTATTGAGTAGTTTAATAATTAGCAGGTAGCCTTTTGTTCCAGGGCCTGCATAGCTGCTCCTCATTGAGACGTGTGGTGGTTGCCCTGGAGGGGTAAATTGTTATGGGGAGCAAATAAGGTCTAGTGTTTAGTAAAACTTAGGCAAAGGTTTATGTGTGAAGTCTAGAGGTAAAAGTTTTGATGTAAAAAGTCCTCTGTGACCTCTCCAGGCTGTTTGGGCAAATGCTTTCCCGGGAGTCCGGACATCGTTTAAAGTTTCCAGGAAAGCCGATGGGTTAAGAGAGTGTGGGGAACATGTTCTTTTGGTGTTTTTATGATGGTGCTGAGGTGTAAGGTTAAAATATATCATAGTTTTCATTGTTATTAGAAAATGGTAAAATGCATATGTTTATTTATGAAAGTGTGGGTTGTCTATAGATGGTGGAATATTGGAATTTGGTAAACTCACCTGTGAGCAAATAATGGTTTAGTCCTTTAACAGATGAGCGTATTTAAGGCTGCCATTTGTCCTTAGACAGTGTGTGCGCTGTGTTACTGTTGGAAGGCCTGACCTGCCCTTAATTGTCTGTGCAGTTATAGCATATGTGGACAAATAAGCACCTCTTGCCTCTGCTATACTCTGCCTCAGCCTTCATCTCCACCTAAATCCAGCCCAAAAGGTTGCTTTGTTACACTTTGCTTCAAAAACAAAAGATATTCTAAAAGGGGGGACATCAGGGCTGTGAAACTTTCAAGTATAGTAATGCCATGACAGATGTCAAGGACATGTGTGCTGCCATTTTCAACACTTAGCACGAAAAAAGCGTCATGAAGCAAGTATCATTGACTGTAGGGTATAAAAGATGGAAATAGCCTCCGTGATTTCTGTTATATGTTTAAATACTTGCTAACTTGCGTTTTTGGAGCCAGAAAGGTGCAATTCACCAAAACTGGAGCACAGCAGAAAGCCTTGCAGAAAGCTCCCATCGACAGCCACATATGCCCGCACCTGCCATTTAGAGCAGCCAAGCTGCTAATGAAGTTGTGAATTTTAGCAATGAATTAAATTTAATTAATTAAATGGATCAAACATGCAAGAAATACTTGCTTTAAATGTAGGCACTTTAACAGGAGCATCTGTGGGGTTTGATTCACAGCCAGGAACTGCAGTTTTTGACACGTCTATGCCGGGTTCATTTTTCAGCCCTTCAGTTTGATGCTTGGCACGTACACTCAATACAGAATCTCCAAATGCTTTTTGCAGCAAGTTACAATCTGATCTGTCTGCACTTACTGGCTTGCCTGAGACTCCACTGATAGCCGCGAGTATTACTTACAACACCAACTGAAAAAAAACATACAGATGGCTTATAAAGGCAGTGAGTATAGTTTTGTATTTTCACAACAATGTAAATATAACTCCCGCACACTGTCTCACTTACTGCATTAGGACTCTATAAATCTAGCATGCAGGAGGACCTTTTTCTATTCACTTTGTTACTACATGATCTAGAAAGCCTACTGTTAATTTTTAAGAACATAAAATCAAGAAATAACCACCAAAAATAAAAGCATGAACAGCACATCTTGAAGAAACAGATTCTGAGTTGTCTGGTTCTTGTTTTAGGTGGTTAAAAGGGTAGAAAACTAGTCTGAATAATTTCAGTTCCAGAGACCAGAGGAGGCAGAAGCTGGGCTCTATTTCCTGTTACACATCAAAGAAGTGAAAACAATCCTGAGGGAATAGCGTCAAAAACAACAGAGAATTATTTCGGAGAAAGAGGAATTTTATAGTAGTGTAAAAATTCAGCATAAGTAAACAGATGCACTTCCTGATTAAATAGTTGGCTTGCCATGAGACTGTTATCAAACCAGTTCTGGAAAAAAATTATTTGTTTTTACAGAGAATATAACTGTTGTTCCAAATAAAACATTTCTTAAACACTCCTTAAAATAATTCACACTTTTTAAGATTAAGGCAAAAGAAGTTTTAGAGAATGATTCTAACAAAATACTTGCAGAAGAAATCCCTGTGCTATGTTTTAAAAACAAAGTTGTGTCATCAGCAAGTTGATCAATGAGAAATGTTAGTGATAGAAATGCCCTGTAAGTTGCTTGATTTTATATGTGAGCAGAGCAGCTGAGCAACAAGAAGCAAAAGATATGGTGAAATTGGACAGCCTTGTCCGATGCCTCGTTGCACATTAAATCTGGCTGATGACCCATGTTTAAGCTTAATAGAGCAGTTGGCATTGTTATATAACTACAAAAAAGGCAAGGCTTTTATGTGAATGATGTAAAAACTGATGTTCAACCGTGTCAAAAGCGTTAAAAAAAATCTAAAAACAGAATATAGCCATTATCTGGAATTAGGTATGACTAATTCAACATATCCAAAATAAGCCTGATATTATTGGAAATATGTCTGTTAGGTAAAAAGCCAAATTGCTCTTCATCAGTTATTGACTCTAACACTGGTTTGATTCTCTGTGCAAAGACAAGGGCCACAATTTTGTAATTATTATTCAATAAGCAAATAGGATGCCAGCTGTCTATTAAAAGCAAATCTTTTTTAGGTTTGGGAATTAGAGTAATTAATCCTTGAGTCATACGCCAGGGTAATGCATCAACTGAGGATGAAATAATTTATAGAACTCAGATGACAAGCAGTCTGTCCCATTTGTTGTTTTTCAGCCTTCTTATAGATCCCAAAAGGTTGAATCTGTTCATCTGGACAAAGTGTTTTCAGTGGGAGAAACGTTTCATCACTCATCCAAGTGACTTCTTCAGTCTCAGCTGACTGCAGGCTTCCCCAACCTTATAAACAGTACATTTGCACAATAACTGAAACCAGCCCACTGAATAAACAATGGGCTGTGAGGTCAGTTCCTTAATCATTAACATGCACATTGTCATGACCATTGATCAACAACCACTGATCAAATACCATTGATCAATGACTATATACTATTCACAGATTTTTTTGACAGATAGTGTCACATAAATCCTCACCTTCCTTCCAGTTTGGCAGTGTTTTGTAAAGAGTTTAAAAAGGTCAGAGCATCACTGCGTATAAAGTTTTTTTTTTTATAATAGGATGAACATGAATTAGTTATCATTTTCAGGTTATCAGTTACCACTTCTTCTATTCTTAAATGAGTAATTGTTTTCAATTTTGCATGATACTTTTCTAACTTAAAAGTATGAAGAATTCTGCTCTTTTTTCTCCAGCCATCGTTTCCTAGACCTTACAAATGCCCCTGCGTACTTTCCACCTATATACTTTGTCCAGAACGTTTCTTGTTTCTGGTGGTTGTCGTCTGTTCTATTCTGCGCATGTCTGCTCTGTCTTCGCGCATGTGCAGTTCATTGCTTAGGAAGAAACGGGAAGATGTCTCTGACGAGGTGAGCTTCACGACAAAGCCTTTTGTAGTTATAAATTGCAAAACTGTTAGGAAATAAGATATCGATTCAACCGATTGGTTTCTGGTGTGTAGACTATGATTAATGTATCACACTGATATGTGTGGTATGTACGCTGTCGTTTCTGTATCTGATTTAGTCGATGCCAACGGCTACGGCTAGCAAGTAAAAATGTCGCGAGTTCCACATTTAGCATAGCTAGCTTATCAGCATGCAGTTGTGGTCAAGATATGATGTAGTTCGTTGTGTAGACGTAGTTTAGGCAGCCACGTGTTTAAGTTTGCTTCTTTAACATTTTCTCTTAACTTACCTTGATCATTAGCTATTTGAACTGACACACGAGTGTCTTAATTAACCTCGAAGCTACTTGTTGTCACTAGCGGCTAATGCTAGCCAGGGCTTAGAGCGCCTGTGTTACTGTTCATCACTTTGAGACTTACATGAGGATTCCTGTGTGTTCAGCTTTTTACCGGCGCCGACCCAGCTGTCCCAAGATCAGTTGGAGGCTGAGGAGAAGCTCCGGGCCCAGAAGTCTTACTCTACCGCCCTGGTTGCATCCCGTAGAGAGCCCCCTCCTTATGGACACAGAAAAGGCTGGATACCTCGCTCACTCGAGGTAAAACCTCTTGCTCGTATGGGATAAGGTTTCTTGTTTGGCTCGCTTATAGTTGGGTCCCTTTTTGTCTAACCTCTACGGGTTGAAGATGAAATCAACCCTGAGTTTTCACTGCAAAATATGTGTTTCTGCAGGACTTTGGAGATGGAGGTGCTTTCCCAGAGATCCATGTGGCTCAGTTTCCTCTGGAGATGGGTAGAAAGAAGAAGACATCAAATGCCCTGGCAGTACAAGTGGATGCAGAAGGAAAGATTAAATATGATGCCATTGCCAGACAAGGACAGGGAAAGGATAAGGTATATGGGCATTTTATCCCTTCGACAGTTAGCAGGGATCCTCTCAATACAATCCATACAATCCAAGGATTTGTCTTTAAATCATAATATAAAAATCAGCAATTCTTTTAAGGCCTGAATAAAACCTGTCATGTACATCGCTTTCGCACGGCCAGAAAATGACTTTTAGGCTTTAGTTTATTTGCATCTCTGGCTCTGTTTTTATTTTAAAAAGTGGTATTCCTTTATTGGTTTCATTTTTCATGCTTATAGGTGATCTTCAGTAAATACACAGACCTGCTTCCAAAGGAAGTTCTCAATGAAGATGCTCCAGGACTACAGAAGCCAGATGAGGAGGCTATACAAGAGGTAAGAGCGCGTCGCCCTCAGAATTACTTTAGATTTGAGTGCTCACTTGTCATTTTTAGAACCATTTACCAAAGAAGTAAAAATTTTATATAAAGCCATCACAAAGTGCTTTTCAGAGGTATCGATGATGTCAAAGAAAAAATGGACAACGTATATTTTTGTCCCAGTAAAGTTGCTGAGCGAGTGAAACAATTTGTCATAATTAGTTTTGACAACTTTGTATTTAGACTTTTTAAACTTAATTAGTAAGAAGTGTTGGACACCAGGATGACTGCTTATCTTTAAGATTTGTTTTAGTTGTTATTGTGAAATACAAGGTTGTCTAACAAAATTACTGATTCAAGTCTATTTAATCCTCCTGCAAACTAAACCATAAAGACCTAAATGAATGAATAAATAAGTAAAGAAAATAAAAAGACAGTTCAGGCTGTAGTGTTTTAGTGTACTTGAGATATTACTGATTCTCAGTAGATCAAAGCCTGCAATTGTTTGAGATTGTTCATCTCCCGATTTTGCACCATGCTCAACCTTCATCAGTTTATGTTGTTTCCAGTCAGGATGCTTTCTTACTACTAAATGTTTGAGAAGTACAGTTTCTCTTGTGTCATGTGACTGCTTTTCTTGAATCTGGAATGTAAACATGATCATCCTTTTGTAGCTCACAGAGAAGACACGTACAGCCCTGGAGAAGCAGGTGTCTCAAAAAATCGCTGCTGCCATGCCTGTAAGAGCCGCAGACAAACAAGCTCCTGCACAGTACATCAGGTATGTATTAGTCAGAAGATTATCAACACTGCACACAGTCAGGGAGGAGGGTCGGAAGGTTGACTTCCAGTTTCTGTAGTGCTCTGTAGTACATGGACCTGAGGCCTTCTTTCAGTTCTACTCCCATTCTTAGATTCTTTTAACGTGGGTACAACAGCTTTTGTGTATAGCTTATTAACAGTAAGCTAATGATGTACACTAGCTAACATAACTACTCGAGTCTAGGAATCAATTCAGATCATCCCCCCAAAATTACCTCTTTGTTAGTAATGCAGCTCTCCTCTGGATTCACTTGAATTTTAGCCTACAAAACCAGAGTTTTGCACTTAGACTGTATTAGTTTAGTTAGTTAGTTAGTTATTGATTAATTTCTGATCATCCTAAAGGCTGCAATACAAGAACAGACGGTACTGGTGCAAGCAGAATTATGCAGAACCTTGAACACACTGATCAATTAGTCTGACTCATGATTCTGAGAACATGCATAGATCTGTGTATTTTATGCAAGGCAACAACTTAACAAGAAGCTGATTTTTTTTTTTTTTTTTTTTTTTTTTTTTTTTTAGAAAAATGTGATGATCAGAGTTTAACTGATAAAATATATCACTAACTCATGACATGAAATGGAAGATTAACTTACAATTACCATTCACATTACCTGCACCACTTTGTCAGTTATGTTAATTGTTTATATAAATGGTCAAATGGTGTATCACTAACTTGTGGGATAGCTTTATGTTTTCTCCTTTCATACAGGATGCTGTTTAAAGGGCTATTAAATGAACTATTGAAGTATTTGGAGAATTCAGAAAGCTCTTATTGCTGCCACACAACTACATGCTTGTATTTTTAGCTTTAACGGATGTCAGTGTGGGTTAGGATAAAGTTTTGTCTGTCTGGCACTTTCCCCTCATCCTGTCCCTCTTTTCAAGGTACACCCCGTCCCAACAGGGAGTGGCATTTAATTCAGGGGCCAAACAGAGGGTGATCCGCATGGTGGAAATGCAGAAAGACCCTATGGAACCTCCACGTTTTAAGTAAGTAAACATTATCTCCATCATTAATTTATGTAATTTGAAATGTGTTCATTTAACCTTTAATATCTGTTTGGACACTTTAACACATAGTTATGATATCTAGATGTTTATTTTGTAGAATGTGTCCCTTTTGTGGGTGTGGTGTTTTGATCACCCTAGAAATTTAAAGTAAGGAGTAAATGAGGACTTCCAAGTAAAATGTGTTTAAAAGTCTTACAGGATTAATTTTTTTAAACATCTAAAATATTTTGCCTGTCATTCTTTGTGCTTCAGAATCAACAAGAAGATTCCTCGTGGACCGCCTTCTCCCCCTGCCCCTGTGATGCATTCTCCAAGCAGAAAGGTAGAGTTGGCTCAAACAGATGTCCGGCTTTTCAGTCATTTTAACGCTGCATCCTAAATCAAGTTGCTTGCACTATGTTTGATAGTTTCTCAGTTTTGTTACAGATGACGGTCAAGGAGCAGCAAGAGTGGAAGATTCCACCGTGCATCTCCAACTGGAAGAACGCTAAGGTAACATGACATCTGAAATAGTTATTGGGTCGGTTTTGTTTTTTGTACATGTGTGTGCCCACTTTTTTTTCCTCACTATGCTTGGTTGCGCTCAGGGCTACACCATCCCACTCGACAAACGTCTGGCTGCTGATGGGAGGGGTCTTCAAACGGTTCACATCAATGAAAACTTTGCCAAGCTGGCTGAGGCCCTCTATATTGCTGATAGAAAGGTAACACATGATTGTCAAAGGGAATCTGAAAGGTTGTGCTTTAAAGTGATCGTTCGTTGGTTATATTTAAATGCTGATTATGTCTGCAGGCCAGAGAGGCTGTGGAGATGCGAGCTCAGGTAGAGAAGAAGATGGCTCAGAAGGAGAAGGAAAAGAAGGAGGAGAAGCTGAGGGAGCTGGCCCAAATGGCTCGAGATCGCAGGGCAGGGATCAAAAGTCACGGTGACAAAGGTGAGCCCTGAAGATAAGAGCCAGGAATATAAAGTTTACTTAATATTCATGGATGTATCTGTGTGAGGCTTTTCTGAGCAAGTAGAGCGGACTCTGTTATCAGTGCTGTCACCACTTCCAAATCGGGAACATGACCGGCATAAATCATGACAACATTTTTCAGTCTGCCAGTGTTGACAGGACCAGTAAGCTGTGAAATGATGTTCCTGCTTCCCCACTGATAATTCACGTATATTTTTGAGAGGAAAAATCAATGTTTCGTGTCTATTTTTTTCTTCTTCTTTTTTTTACGCCTTGAATGACTGTTTAGCTACAGGACATTGACTGTGATTATAAAATAGAACTTTTGCTGTGGTAAATGCTTCATTCATCAGCTGTGATTTTGATTCAAATATTCTAAGGTTACTTATAAAACCTTCTCTTGTTCTCTCTTTCTGCCCCGCCCTGTTCCCCTGCGCTTTTCTCCCCACACTTCTGTTGCACCATTTCACCTCATGTGTACCCCTTGCTTCTCTCTTCTTCTTTATTATTCGTTTTTTCTTTGCACCCTGTTCTCTCCCTCTTCCCATCCGTCCATCTCTCGCGGCAGGTGGCGAGGACAGCGAGGCCAGGGAGCGTGACGAGATCCGCCATGACAGAAGGAAAGAGAGGCAGCACGACAGGAACATTTCCAGAGCTGCTCCCGATAAGAGGTGCTGGACACGCACTTTAAACGCACCGCATGTGAACTCAACCACCCTTTCCCTCTAAACACGCACGCACGCACGAATGCAGTCCGCACTGCTGAATCATTCATGGAGCTAGAGCTAATACTGAACAAACGCAGCAGGATCCAGCAGCGCGCTCAGGATCCACAGACTGTTTGTGCATGGGGGATGCGCCGCCAGTGTGCATTTGTGTGTTAAGTTATGTGTTCTGCACGTCAGGTTGTCAGTTGATGGAACTGTGGGTCCGTGGAGAAGGGAAGAAAGTGAAATTCAGAGGAGAGCTCATTACAGTCACAATTCCAGCTGTCAGAAAGCACAGACCTTGTTATCTTAAAATTACTTTTCACTTCACTTTGAGATGACTGTTTGCTGAAGGACAATCAAGATGTTAAAGTCACCAAGAACTGAATAAAAAAACTTCACATTTCAATATATATTTAAGCTTTAAGGCCAGGATACAGAGTTTAAGCATTCATGCAAGTTTCTCCCAGCATTTTTCCAATAAATTTTTATGTATTATATAACATGACATTGAAATGACACTTTTATTCTGTTTAAATTTTTGAAGCTGTAGCACTCACATTATTACAGCACTTTTAAAGAAAGTTAAAGTAAACTTTCTCTAAAGTTTTCCATGAGTCATTTCTTCTATCTTGTCTTTGATTTCTGCTGAACATCCCTTTGATTTCCTCTTTCCGCGTCCCAGGTCGAAGCTGCAGAGAGATCAGGACAGGGACGTCAGTGAGCTCATCGCTCTGGGCAAGCCCAACCCTCGTTCCTCCAGCGAGGCGCAATATGACCAGAGACTCTTCAATCAGAGCAAGGTTGGAATGATTCTCACGTTTTTAGTTCCACTCTTCCAGCGTTCACATCTTGGGTTTTTTGCTGCGAAGATAAATGTAGCTGAAAGTTTCAGTTCCAGATCAAACTGGATCTTAGTCTTTCTTTTTTCCCTCTTTCTTTTCAGGGTATGGACAGTGGCTTTGCTGGTGGTGAAGATGAGACGTACAACGTGTATGACCAGCCTTTCCGCAGTGGCAGAGATATGGCCTCCAACATCTACAGGCCCAGCAAGAATATAGACAAAGATGCTTACGCAGATGATTTGGACTCACTCATGCACAACAACAGGTATGAGGACTTTTTCTTTCTTTTTCTTTTTTTTTTTCTTCAGACAGCGTTATTTGACCTGTTCACCTTTTTAAATGTTCTGGGAAGAAAATGATTACAAAAATGTTCCTTTAAGATAAACATAATGTGTTGACAACACATCCAAAATTTAGAGTGACCCAAGGAAGGACTGGACACAATAAATCAAGAACACCTTGGACTTACTTTATTATATTCATATTCTCATTATGAGGTCATTTCAGAGATATGTTTAATATGTCTAAAAGGGTAAAAAAGCTGAAGTGGTGGTATCTGTGTCAGCTTTATTTGGATGTCGTATTGTTCCAGCAAGTAATTAACAACATAACTCAGGAACACAGTGACAGATGTGTGATCATACTTCCTCATGTGAACCTTATTTCAGAGCTTTCTGCCATGGATACAGTTTGGTATTCCAATACGCTCCGTCTGCACAGGACGTGGGTCGCTCATTGTGCATCGTTTGGTGCTGACGGTTTGTTGCTAGCAGACATTCCAGGCTCCGGTTACCTAGATAACTTTGTCATATATTTTTTTTATACCTGGTCATATGTCAGCTAGTGGTATCCTGCCTTCTCATTGGCAATTCCTTCAGTCGCTCGCATTGGGAGTTGATTTTTCCCGGAGCTGGTCAATTCACATCGCCAGCAGTTTTCTCACTTGTAATAACTTGAAGTCGTCGCTGTTGTCTTGTTTGAATTTTGCGTTTGAAAATGTGTGGAATCTAAGCATAGTAACTGTTAATTAGGCTGCTACCAAGATGGCTAAGCCTGCGCCCTTTTGCCAAGGGAGTATCTATGTTTTTTTAAATGACAAAGACCTAAAAAATTTCAAGGTTATTCTAATTTTATTTTGAGGCACGAGACAAGCATTCACATGAATCCCAGCAGGAAGTCTCGTCCTTGAGGCAGCAGTGCTACACTCGGCTAGTCGAGCATAGCCTGTCCCATATGTTTAGTCACCAGGTTGTCATTGTGCTTCAGGAGTGTTTGGTTGGCCACAGGGTGCGAGACCATTGTGCAAAACAGAATGTTGAAAACAGTTTTTGACTGACTTACCAGAGACATTTGCTCCATGATATTTTCAGGGTCATTTTCTTCTCATTCAAAATGTTCTGCCCCTTGTCAGTGAGTCCGTTTAATAACCTGCAGATCAGGTAGGGATTGGTAATGAGTTGTTTTCCTGTCCACTTTCAGGTTTGCCCCAGACAAAGAGTTCTCAGGCGCCGACCACGGGCAGAGGCGCGAAGGACCTGTTCAGTTTGAGGAGGATCCCTTCGGTCTGGATAAATTTTTGGAGCAAGCCAAGCAGCACGGCGGCTCTAAGAGGCCATCCACTAGCAACCGCTCCAAGGATGACTACCACGACAAGAAGCGCAGGAAGGAGTGAGAGCAGCTCGGTGCACTTCTAATACAGAGGGGGAGTCAGTGCATCCCCTCAGCGGTTGAGGGGTGTTGTGGTATACAAGTATCTGTCAGGACTGGACATTAAGATTGATGTCTTCTTTCAGTGTGAAAGAGGGTGTAAGGCTGTGTAAAACGCTTGTTTTTTGTTTGTTTTTTTGTCTATTAGACTTCATTAACCCATGTTGAGCATTTGTTGTGAGGCAAAGTATGAGTGGGCTCCGCATCTGAAACATTACTCTTTATACAGTGCAACCTCTTTCATTTCACATGTGGCTGGGAATGGTGATAACTGACCCTGGAAAAAATGTAGATTTTAGTCACTGTCTGCTTTTGTTTTCATAAACCTGTAATGCTGAAGGTTACAGAATAAACTCAACAGGAATTCCTCAGTATTTACCCCCTTTTTTTTCCTCACTTTCTCCTCACATTCCCTCCTTTTGTTTGTTATGGCAGTGTTTTATTTAAACCCCTCGTACATTTGTGAGCACAGTCCCTATTTTATGGCAGATGTGTACAGCAGCTTAAATGTATCTAGAAGATATAAATCCAGCCAAATTTATAGTTCTTGTACATTACTACCAATGCATTGAGTTTCATATCGTGTGTAACTGCTGTGCTTTTTTAATTAGTAAACAAGTTTGACTTGTCTTTCCTTGTCAGTTATTTTTAGTCCGGTTAAGCTTCAGTTATTCTAAACTTTTCCAACATAGTGGGAAGTCCATTAGTTGTGTAATTGGCATAGTTTGTACATAGTAGATTTCCATTATTTTAATCACTTCCTGAGTAATGCAGCCCATTTACATAGATGATTAAATGCCTGAAATGCATTCAGCAAAGCCATCAATTACAGTGTGTGAGTAGTTTTCAGGGCTTTTTCCCCCCCACTGGAAATTGGCTGTGCGATTTATGTGATGATTAGGCTAAAACTAGTTCAATTAATTACAATTAATTATGATTTATGCAGCCTGACAGTTTTATTTTCCCTGGCTCTGGAAAATAATCAGCGTGGCATTACACAGCCCAGTGGACTCCAAAATCTTTGCACCATGCCATTTTCCACTGATGCTTGAAAAGGGACAAACAGTGGTTACATGCACAAGACTGTTCTTCAGTGGGCGCTGTTTGTGGGTATTGACTCATGCACGGTTCTGAATGCGATTGTTATGTTGCACATCTTTTTACCAGCAGGTGAGAAATTATAGCCTTAAGCCACAGCTACACAGGAGGCTTAGTGTGAGCAGCTCACTGCTGAGCTGAAGGTCATCTGCAATAATACTTAGTCCTGTATTTATGCACTCCTGGGGTCGTACTCGCAGGTCTATATAACAAATCAAATATCAGCTATCGTACAGCCACTTTGGATAGCTGGCTTTTTTTTTTTTTTAAAGAAAGTATGTTTTCTGTTGGATGTAAGAAAGATCAGATACTGATGCAAACCAGAGGTTATTGGAAAGGTCATTCCAAAACTGAAGACCTCTAAATACCAAGTTAGGATATCCAAGTGTAATTCATTTTAAAGACGGGTGTAGTGTGGCCTGCAGGCCAGTGATAATATTTTATTGTACGTGCAGATGTCACAAGGAAAGGGCGTACTACTGTACATTTACTTCATACACTGTTTAGCACACAATAAATAAACCAAAGCCAAACACGACTGAATCTATTTCTTTAGTTTTCATAGCAGACTAAGTCTTCCTAACATTAACAAATACAGTGAGTTTCAAGGAACTTCCAAGTCACAGCCCCCACCCCACTAAATTGCAACTAAGCTTTTCGATCCTAGCCCTAAAGGAACACTTTGCACCATTTCCATAAAACCTAAAGTTGCTTAAACTTTTAAAACCTGCTTTGTCTGCCAGAATTTAAATGGAGATGACAAATTTGCACTCAGCCCTTAAGCTTGTTCCTATTCTATTTAATATTTCAACTGAGCACAGATCCTGAAATGATACTCGATATATATTAAGGGTATAAATAACACATATAGTAGGAATGGCACTGACGATCCAAAATGCATATGTAGTTGTAAAGAAAAAAGTTTTCACTGAAGTCTTTGCAGCCATGAAAAGCTAAGTACTGCCTCACCGCTTCCATAAGAGGATGTTAAGTGTGAGCACCTCTGTAAAAGCAGCAGTTTAAGCAGTTTGTCGGTCTGAAGCATTCAGGCGTGGTTGAGCACAATGACACAATCGTCCCAGTAAATCCACTCCAAGGTCAGACGGTGCAATGCTCAGAGAAACTGCAGCAAATCCAAGAGCCACATCTCAGACTCTACAGTCTCAGTTGGCATGATAAACGTTAACGTTCATGACAGTACAACTGGAAAAAGATTGAACAAGTGTGGCTTGTTTGGGAGGGTTGATAGGAGAAAGCTTCTCACAAAAAAAGAACATGTTAGCACAGTTAGGCTTTGCAAAGTTGCATCTGAATAAAGCAAACAGCATATCAGCACAAACATGTCATATCAGGTGTTAAACATGGTGGTGGAGGTGTAATGATTTGGGTTTGTTTTGCAGCTATGGGACCTGGGCACCTTGCAGTCATTGATTTGGTCTATAAATCCTCTGTATACCAAAGCATACAGACGTTACCTGTGTCCCATCTGCACACAGGTAATTCAATTTTGTTTATACAGCGCCAAATCACAACAATGGTCTCCTCAAGGCTCTGTATATTGTAAGGTAGAGCCTACAATAATACATAGAGAGAAAAACACGATAATCATATGACCCCCTGTGAGCAGCACTTTGGTGACAGTGGGAAGGAAAAATTCCCTTTTAACAGGAAGAAACCTCCAGCAGAACCAGGCTCAGGGAGGGGCGGGGCCATCTGCTGCGACCGGCTGAGGCGAGAGAAGGAAGACAGGATAAAGACATGCTGTGGAAGAGAGACAGAGATTAATGACAAGTATGATTCAGCAGAGAGGTCTGTTAACACATAGTGAGTGAGAAAGGTGACTGAAAAGGAAAAACTCAATGCATCATGGGAAGCCCCGGCAGCCTACATCTATTGCAGCATAACTAAGGGAGGATTCAGGGTCACCTGGTCCAGCCCTAACTATATGCTTTAGCAAAAAGGAAAGTTTGAAGCCTGATCTTGAAAGTAGAGATGGTGTCTGTCTCCTGAATCCAAACTGGAAGCTGGTTCCACAGAAGAGGGGCCTGAAAACTGAAGGCTCTGCCTCCCATTCTACTTTTAAATACTCTAGGAACAACAAGTGGTTCATCGTAACGAACATCGTAACGAACATCATAACGAACATCGCAACGAACATGGTTCTACAACCTACTGAATCATGGGGTGTACTTAACGTATAGATTCCTATGAAAACCTTATTTTTCCTATGAGTCTAACTAGGTATAAACATATGTAATGATATGGCAGAAGAAATTTGAGTCAAAAATAAAATAAAGGTTGAATGGACTATAGCCTAAAATTCATTCTCCTCACTGTGCTGATACAGTTCTCACCTCCCGTTGGACCAGAGGAAAAAGCTGCGAAAGACCCAAACTCGACTACGGACTGAGAAACCAGGCGTGAACACATTAAACTCTCGCTCAGTTTCAGCAATGTGGCTCTGATGTGATTTAACACTGACCTATACTTGCGAAGAAAGAATCCGACATGCTCCAAAGTCATCCAATTCTTCACCAGTGTGGGGGAAAGCAGGTGGTTTGTCACAGTCTCCCCTCTGCTCTTGAGGAAATGAGCTGAATAAAAAAAAAAACACGAGTCAGTGGTAGGAGAGGGCTCAGATATTGTAATATTGAGAGCTGTCCTGATTTTTCATTTCTGCGTGAGGCATCATTTTTAGGATCACTCTATTGTCTCGAACATGTTATATTATCTGGAACAATGACATGAAAGGGGAACAAGCTGTATATGAATAAATGTTGAATGGAGGGATAGAAACTCACCAGTGTGGGAGGTACTTTAGGGACAGCGGGGGTTTATTGTGAAGGCTTGATATGAGTGTCAGTGTGAAGAAATCAATATGACAGACACCAGCTGAGGGTAACTGAATCACAAGTGTAGTCACGCACGACTCTCACGTGTGGTTGTGGAGGCACAAAAAGAAAGAAGGTAAAAAAAAATGTTGTAAAAAATCTCAAAAGTCAACACAATTTAAACTTTCCTATCTCAAAACAACAGGAAAGTTGTGTTTCCCTTCAGCCGCATTTGTGCTTAGACCACTGTGGAAGCACTGAGGACAGCTTGATAATGGGCCTCCTCTCCACTCTTGTCTGCCTTTATGGATGTGCACAGAGGAAGATGAATGAGATTCTTTATTCATGAAGGTAAGAGGAAATTGGTTCCTTGGCATTGCCTTTGTGTGCTGCTCAATGTAAACCGTGAACATATTGTGTCGGGACATAATGGAATCCTCAGGTCACCAGCCGGGACCGTGATGGATAGCTCCTTATCTGTGCTCCACAAGGAAACAAACCCAGAAATAATAAACAATATTGAGTTGTTGCGGCACATCTTTCCACTTGCTGGACTTGAAGGAGGATAGCTTAGTTTATTTTGTGATTCCTTTTGTGATTTCCTCCCCCCCGACCCCACCCCTTCCTCCTGTTGGTGGCAGCAAAGCAATAAGTTTGGTGATAAATGTTCTAGTCTGCTGCTGATGACCTGTCGAAAACAGTGGCCGGAGAGAGATCTTGTCTCCCTCTGTGTCTCTTCCAGTATTGAAGGCAACCTTTTCATTTTGTCAGAGAAACACCCCTGCATCCACGGAAAACACTGGATCCATTCCCTCTCTGCCATGAAACTGGCATGACTTATCTGCTCTGTAGGACAAAAGGTCAAAAATCCCTACTCTCTCTATGGGCTCAGAGATGGATTTTTCTCTATTTACGTAGGCACTGTGCAAGAAATGTAAATTTGATTTACAGCAGCAATAATCTAGAAAATATACTTTCACTTGACCACCACATTTTGCCTTCAGAACTCCCTCCATTCATAACAGAGATTTTAGTCCACATTGACATGATAGCAGATGGTGATAATGCATATTTGTTGAGATCTATTGGATTGGGATTTGCAGACTGTGGAAAAAAACAGTCTGAGATGATCTGAGTTTCATGACATTACACATGATTGTGCTCCAACCGTCTATCAGAAGATCGGTATGATGTGGTCGTAAAGAGAAGTACATGTTCAGTGGGCTGTGGTGTTTAAACAATGCTCAGCTTGCACTAAGGAGGCAAAAAAAATGCCAAGAAATTCTACAAACAGCATTACAACAACACAACCATCCTGAACTGGTGATAAAAGGCAGGATGGATTCACTGGTTCATTTTGTTTACATCAAATTCCGATCCAATCATCTGAATGTCTCAGCACCAATCAAGACTCAATGTTCTTCCAAATGTCTATTTGTCCCGTT